TCATCCTTGCGCAGGGGCCATGCTAATCTTCTCTGTATTGTTCCAATTTTAGTATATGTTCAGGAATGAACGTAAGTTGGAATCAAGCGCTCCCTTATAAAAGGTCGCTTCAATTAGCGGCGTATGCTGCACGGGTACAGGTAGTCATTTAACATGAGGTAATTGCAAGGCCACGTGTCACAAATGCGTGGGACTGGACGGTAGCATCAATGTACTGTTTAGAGCGAAAATATCCAAACTGAAAATGACTTGCCTTCGCATAAAAGATCAAAATTGCGCTTTAAATCCTCATTCTAACTATTAGACCATGCTTGAGAATCTTCTGCATTTCTTTCGATAAGAAATGCCCGCAAAAGAGTGGTGCTCAAAAAACACCGGAGACTATAAAGTCCCGATCTCGAGAGAGAAAATATCCGCTTCAAATGTCGGTTGAGCACGGGGCCGCTATAAGCAAATGGAACCCGCAATCAAGCGCAAGCGACATATTTGTGGCGCATCCTCAGCTTTTTTCAGAACGAAATGTGATTTGACTATGGATCAAAGAGAGGAGAAGTTTGTTCAATCTCGTTACACGATGGAGCCCTATGAGATTCCTGATATGGAAAGGACCTCAGAGCTAGAAAAGTTCCCCATTTTCTCTGTGCCCTACAGTATGCTTGACGCAGTGGAAACAGGAGGCCCTTTCCTTTGTGGGACAATGTGTCGTTCCCATGAGCCACTACAACGAAAGGTTATCCCGTGTATGGTTGTTGCGCAATCATACATATGTTGCTGTTCAAATAAAATAGGGGCCCTAAGGACACTTCATAGATGCCGGATGCCTTCTGTAATGTCATGCTAAAACTTGCCTGCAGAACTTCTGTGATGGACTAGAAACTCATGAAAAAAGTCCGGCACTATTGCAACTATTACTACCCCAATTTTCCGGAAACAGGCCGGATCTTGATCGACTTTTCTACGGGGGCAGATTTGACTGAAAGTTGGGTTTTGTCAGGGATAATGCGACCTCCTGAACACGAATATCACATCCACTTGGCCTGAAAGTGCCTGGCGCCTGCCACAGGCGTCGGCGCCAAAATCCTAAATCACCGAATCCGCTAAAAACTTGCACCCCAGGAGTAGTTTGACATTCTGAACACTAATCCGACCATCCGCTCGATCTGAAACCGCCTGGCCGGCACCAAAATACCCTAGGTCACCAAATCCGCTGAAAACTTGTATACGGAGGTTATTTGACATCTTGATTACAAATATCACATTCATTTTTGGCGCTGGCGCTGATGGAAGACGCTGCGATCATCTGCGCTCTTCTAAGGCTGAGCCTGACCTGCAAGGAAAATCACGGAAATCTTGCTTTAAGGCTCACTTAGAAAAGCGCTAAATGGCGCTGGCGTCGAAAAATAAATGTCATATTCGTGATCAGCGCATCAAACGACCCCATTATGCAAGTTTTTATGGATTTTGATAAAAAAGGGTGAGGCACCAAATCAGCGCCTGATGGCGATCGCAGGGTTGACAGGCTAATTCGCGTATTTGTGATTAGGACATCAAATAACCCCGCTATGCAAATTTACACCGAAATCAGGGCACAGCATTCGATGGGGATTTTGGTCGAGCCTGTACGACCCCCCCCCTTTTTTGGGGGTTCGGTACGACCCCCCCCCCTTTTTTTGCCGTTCGGTTTTTTTCGCCTTAAATGAAACTATGAAACGCCCACTATGAAATTCTACTTGTATGAAGGTGCCCATACTAAATGGACGACTTGAAGTCATGACATAATAGAACAATACAGAGATGATTGCAAACAAAAACGGTACAATCGTATTATGAGAAACTCGTATGATGAACTTCTTCGATGGCCGTTTTGAAACACACATGGTAATAATAACGATATATCGCGATTAAATTCAATGAGCATTCGTTAACCTGAGGTGGACTCCCTCTCTGGGAGCGGCCATCAGCGACCACAGTGTTAACAACGTCTATTCCCAAGATTGAGGACGAGGAAAAGAGAAAGTTAGGCTTGTCTCACTACGTAACAGTTATACAAACCGCCGTAAAAATGCATTACCCCGATTATTGGAGTACGGTAGCAGAAGCGCATGTAATTGCGGCTGTGACAGGAGATTATTCGGCAATTTTAGCCATGGAGCGAGAATTTCCAGCTGAGTTAGGTGTCTTTGAAGGACCATAACTTCCTCAAAAGCGGACCTGTGGGGAAGAGGAGACCGTATTCGTGTAGAGGAAGGTTTGCACTTCCTAAAAGTACTGAAACGTTTATGAAGGTCGCAAAAATCACAGAGAAATCTGCCATAGGGATTCGTTGGGGAGTGATTTCAACTGAACAGGTTTGAATCAATATATTTTTTTTGTAACTCAACATTTCACAAATCTGAGAATGGTTTCGAGTGTTTGAAGATTTTCTCTTTCTAAAAACCTCTTGAACTGTTTCTGAAGCTCTCGGGATTCATGAGATCTCGCTATGGGGATTTCTTGAGGAACACTCCCAGCTGCGCGAAAAACCCGTTTCCTGTGTACCGTTTCAAGTGAGCGTGTTCGAATAGCCAGGAACGCATGTAGAACGTATCCTGTGGTGGAGCAGGAGCAGGATATGGTTCGTTTAGCGCCGATCACGCCAACTTTGGATGCGCCGCGCACTGAGGGCCGCGCAGAGGTGATGGGATGGTGCAACTTGTGCGTAATGTCTGTTCACGCGAGCAAATGTGTCTATAAGGTTCAGGGAGGTCCATGGCGAGCCTGCACTTGTTTACAGTGTTTTCCGTTGCGTATGATGGAACATGTCCCTGTCAACGCTGCCAGATTCGTGCTCCGCCAATCGCTGACTCCGATAAAGGAGACCAACTGCTGGAAAACGTCTGATATGAACGATATGGTAGTCCTGTCGCTTGTCGAGAAAAAAACAGGTTGGCTCAGCGCCAAGCGCGACCGCGGACACGCCATATCATTGGCAGCGAACCAGAGTTTGAGTTGTACTGTTTAGTCACCAACGGACTTACGAGATAATGTCGACTTATTAATATTTGCAGTTATTTCGGATTAGTTTGATGAATGAAAGTTTTGTACTATTTTTTTGCATATCCGAGTTCTCTACAAAGCAAGTTTCGTTGTACAGGACTCAGCACATTGACAATTTGCGCTGCTCGTTACTGGCTGCCGCACTCACTACGACCCCCCCCCTCTCCTGGCGGCCAAATACGACCCCCTGTTGGGGATTCCCCAACCAACGATGTGCCCTGACGAAATTGATGAGAAAGATGATGGCGCCAAACTGGCGACCAATTGGCGCCAATTTGGCGCCAGCGCCGAAAACGAGTGCTATATTCGTGATCAGGACCGAATTACCTCTGTGGGCAAAGTTTCAGCAAAAAAATTTTCCTGACTTTTTGGGGTAGTAATAATTGAATAGTGCCAAAAGTTCTACGGACACGGCACTCATAAAAACTACAGAACTAAATAAAATGGTCCCACAAACCAAGTTCCGTTGTAAGTGATTCGCCGTTGGCTGAGTCATTTCATCCAGCGGCGGTGACCTCTCCCTCCCTCCTCCTTTCCCGGCCCCGAAATTTTGAGGAAAACTGAGAAGTATTGCAAGAAGGTGGGTTGGTAGAGTGGAATGGTCGGACAAGAAGAGCAATTTGAGCAAATATAGGATTCGTTGTGTGCGTTTGTGCAAGTATGTGTAGAATGTGTCAGGAATGTGTAAATGTGCCTATAGTCGTGTGTGTATGTGTTCCGTTGTGTGAAATGGTATGACTTTTGTGCTTGCGTGCGCTGTGCATGTGCCTGCTGTGTTCTACTTGGGCCAAAATTATGAGCAGGTACAACAAACAAAACCTCAACACTGAATTACCAGGGTTTTTGAGACCTACTTATAGGTACAGTGACAAGCGGCACCGCCCCCACGCTCATTATTCGCCGACCAAATAATGTCATGGCCATCCAAACAGTTGATCTCTGACTGTTCTGTAAATGGCTACCAGCCGGTCCTTGTAAGTACTGTACATGTTGAAGAGGCATCTAGGAGCCAGCAACGTCTCTATCTTTCCCTATTACGAGTCAGGATGTTGAGTGGAGTTCATACACATTAGTGGATAGGTTGAGCCGTCCAAGATTTTTATAATTTATTAGTCAAGGTTTCGGCTACTGCCTTCGTCAGGACCTGAAACAGTCCAAAACAAATGAGATTTGTCCCTCAAACGCCTTCACAGTAACCTGACAAGACTATTTCTTGATCCTAGTAAACTAACCAACGGTATCGATCGAAAAGAATGAGCGGTTTTGAGCATAGTTTAGCTATGCCGACCTATGTGGCTTTTGATCTACATGAGTCGAGCTCGCGAGGTGGGTGGCAGCTCACTGTAAGCAGTACTACAGTTTAGGTGGTCGATCTCACCTCGTCGCGGCTGAGATCAAGGTAAGCCTACTCACTCTTATCGATACCGTTAGTTGGTTTGCTAGGATCTCGAAATAGTCTTAGGTTCTTGGGATGACGTTTGAGGGACAGATCTCATTTGTTTTTTGGACTCTTTCAGGTCTTGACGACGGCGAAGTAGCCTAAACGTTGACCAATAATTTGTAAAAATTCAACTATCTATTAGCTTGAGAATCTCTCAACCAAGAATACAATAAACTCCGTTCTTTTCATGCAAAGCTTTTATGAAGCCTCAGCAGTCCGAAATGCACATTGGCCACCTATTATCCAACAAATCCTTGCAAGGGTCAAACATATTTGAACACCCTGCCACGAGAGAAGCCGAATGTACGAAACGCCTCCAAAAAGCTTTGACCCATCCCACCTGACACGCCCCTTCATCCGTAGCGAACAAGACTGTAAACACGCTATATAATCGAGTTCTTACAAGTAGATAAATTTATTTACTCACATAGTGCAGAAAAAGCTTAAAACAGCAATTATCAACAATTCAACAATAGAGGTAACAAACGATCAACAACGTTCTAATAAAAAACAGAATTTTTTACTAACTAGCAAAGAATGACTCCTCAATCTTCGTATAAACTTCACTATCAGGGAAATTTACGCTTAAGAACAATCGTAAGCCCTCTGTTAACAACTGATTCTTATCTTTAACAAGTAACGGACTGAAAATCCGACGAACTTTTGTTATGGAGGAAGATGACAGCAGTTTGAAGATTCTGCGAACCACAGAGGACACCCCAGCTGTCAACGTTCCCCACTCCACCACCTAAACAAAACTCGATTAATCTCAATTTCTGGCTTATTTTTTTCTAATCTAGCACGTTCTATTAATAAATGTGGACTCCTACCTTCAAAACAGTGATGGGCAAGACCTCATTTAAAATCAGATGGTGAATCAAATCGGCTAAACGAGTTCGAGCTCGCAGTTTCAGTGCATCCACTTCTCGGATACGATCCCATAACGCATACTGTGTAGTGAGCTACAAAAGTAAAAAAGTAAAGTAGTAAAGTAAGTAGTCTCATTTGATTCACTTTAATGGTTTTGCTCTGACAATCAATGCGACTACGGAGACTTCTTTCTTGGTTTGGTGCTAAGGGGGAGGGAGGGGGGGGGTGGAAGATAGGTAGGGATAGGGGCAGTGAGCGATGCCTGCTCTTAGCTTTTTTGCAACTTTGCTTGGCGACATTTCGAACTGTTCTGCACGATGACTCGGCCAGCTTTGAATACCTGTTCATGGAACTCGTTCTCAGGCATTAGGAGCAGCGAATCGAAGACCTGAGATCCACGAGCTTTCTGATTGCCTTTTTAGAGGCTGGGAAGTGAAACCCGAACCTCCAACAGTAGAGGAATCATCGCTCATTTTGATGAACCTCTCTGCAAAATTTGGGAAAAATGGATGTACCAAGAGAGATCACGTCAATCCCACCAGTTGGCACGATAAATCCCCAAGACGACTAGGATCAATACTCCTGGCAGGATAGAATTCCGCGACCCTGGGCAGGCGCTGCATAGCGGTTTCCCCGAGGAAGGTGCCCTTATAAGGGCCCTATCAAGCCACAACTTTACGTCCCAACGCCCGCCCGCCCACAAATGGACGACCGTTCCTGACGCTCGTATTCATTCATTTGCTAAGCATTTTGAAGAGAGAGCCATTCGGATGACTAGGCTTCATTGAACGATCCTCCTTCTACGTCTACACTTGGTAATACCTTAGTATTCGTTTCC